ATATCTCAAAACAGTAGTCATGTGAGTGTGTCGATTCGTAACATAGATTATTATAAATGTTGTGTGTCATCAATGGATTCATTGGTAAGATTATGGAATTAAAAGAAATATCCCGAAACAAGTGTTCATGCAAGTGTGTCGGTTTGGCTAATAGATTAAACAATATTGTACATACGAGTGTGTAGGTTTGTTCTAACAGATGTATATAAATGTTTAGTGTGACATTAATTAATTCATTGGTTACCATATTCATGCGACTCAAGGGACAGAACAATGCTTTTCACGGCCAGCTAATAGTTAACACACAACCTTGGAATGGCAACCCTTTGCGGAACAGAAAAAAAAAAACTTCTTGGAACAATCTTATGCGTACCGATATGCGAGTTCTGTGTGTATGTTGGAGGGTAGTTACCACGAGGTCCAATAATTATAGCGGGCATTATGGTTCGAGTTGTCCACGTACTACCTCTGCTGTGGTTCTGGGGTCCAGAGACGTCATCGTAGTGCAGCGTTCCTTGTACCGAAAATACTTCAAGTCCCCAGCAGGGGGCGCTGGGTCGGCAGGTGTGTGTGTCGAACACACGGCGCTCTCTCGGCTGCTCCTTCAGGCTCTGTCCACCGCTGGAGTGGTTGCCGAGTCGGCACGCCGCTCACACTGGCGGCGGTGCCCGTGCTGGCAGGAATGATAGGTCCAGCTCCGTCTGCGGTGGTGTGCGCGATGGTCACGTCGCCAGATAGCACTCGCAGTTCGTCTGCGAGTGCAATCTGGCGGTTGTCTGTGCGTCTCGTACGCTTAGTGGACACGCTCCAGATCAGGTTATATCGTTCCATGTCAGTCTCTGATTCGACCCTCAACTATCCTTCGCCTGTGGGTTGACGATTTACTGGGCATTCTCACGAATAGTGGTTGCTCCAAGTTTTCCCTCAAAGGGGTCGACTTTGATCGGAGCACAATCGGAACGATCGTCACACTATGATCGTCTGTGGAGGCTGTATACAGCTACCTCGCCACCGGGGAGCAGTCTTGTTCCCACGTATTGTATTGCAATGCTACGAGTACACGTGTAGTGGATTCAACTGAGTGGCAGACGTACTTCTTTGGAGGCAACACATTTATTGATACCAACACAAAGGGGTAACTGCCCCTTTACCAGATAACACCTGATGGTGGTGGACCACCAGGCTAACTACACACTATGGTGATGGACCACCAGGCTAACTACACGAGTTACACTGGGAGTAGCGACAACGGACATGACCCCGGCTTGGGTCCAGGTCCACGTGTTGGCGACTCTTCTCGGACGTAGAACGTAGATCTTCAGGATAACAACAGCAACGCTAAACCCTGGTCCCTCTGGGGACCCGGTTTATATCCTCACTGGTCGTGGCTGGCCCCGCCTTTAGCCACGACCACCTCGAATCCTTTGGCAGGATGTCGCCCAACACGTGACCAACCCCTAGCCCCTACTTGGGGCCCCTGTGTAGACTTTACCCGTCATGTGCCTTCCAGGGTCAACCAAAGTGCCATGACCTACAGTTACCATATTCATGGCCGGCACCCTCACACCCCCTCCCCTATAGGGGACAGCACTGCACGCCGAGCGTGATGTCACTCAGCGCTCTCTATGAGCGCTCACCGAGCCCCTCTAGGGCTGGTACTACACCCACATGTATGGGGTGTCCGCAATATATTGCACGCCGTGCCTCGCTAGAGCCGGCATTACATAGGGACATCCGCGATGTCACTACACAAGCCTTAGCATGCAGTGTCTCTCCCAATGACGCGTATGAAAATAAGGCAAAAAAACCTCTGTGATGCGTGGTTTCTGCCGGTGCAGAGCTCCCTATCAATTGCTAGTCACGAGGGCAATTCCCCAGTGTGCCGCTCGCAGATATTGTTTTGCACTCACGTTGCTGACTTTTTGAGAAACCCAACGTAAAATTTCCCCGCACGCACGGTGTTACGTCGTTTTCGACTCGGTTCAGCCTCGTGTACAAAACGTACAACTTGTATTTCGCGCATGTGCTGCCATCTTAGCATCTATCCCCAGCATCCTGTCTGCTGCTTCTCAGTCCAATCATCATTATTCGCTCATGTTGTGCGTAGCGAGTGCTCATTGTAAATCGACATAATCCTCAACACCTCCAATCAAAGCCAATCAAGCACAACTCATTCACTGAAGGTAAGATCATGAAAATGATAGGTCAAGGTAAAAGCTTTAAAAATGCGATTTAAGATTATGTTTTTGACATTTGGGTTATTGCTTAAAAATGTTACAAATACGTTTTCTATTTAAAAATAAAAAAATAGTGTACAGGGCTGCTTTGTAATGCTCATAAAAAATGGTTTTCAATTAAGTATTTTGTCAGGATAAATGCTGTTTAAAGGTCCTTTACAATGTACACCTTTATAACCAAATCTGAAAATTTGAAGCTTTCGTGACTGCAGGAATTATTCGTTGGTTCTTTCGGTAAAGTCACGTAGAAAAAAATAATAATAATAGAATACGACATTTCCATTGCAACACAAGCAACCACCATCAGGTACAAATGAATGAGAAAACATAGTAAACTTGGAAATATAATGCAATGCAACACAGAGTCAGCCAACACAAGTCAATACCTCACCTAGTTGATTACGTTCTTTCAAAGATTGCTAAATTTGAGAGACAAAACAGTCTCCGTGTCTATGTTGTTTCTCTCTCAAATTTAGCAATCTTTGGAAGAACGTAATCAACTAGGTAGGGTGTTGACTGTTGTGTTGGCCGACTGTGTTGTATTGCATTATATTTACAAGTTTACTATGTTTGTTTTCTCATTCATTTGTACCTGATGATGGTTGCTTGTGTTGCAATCGAAACGTCGTATTCTATAATTATTTCATTTCTTTCTACGTGACTTTACCGAAAGAACCAAAGAGTAACCAAATCTGAGTTATTGTACAGTATAATACAGGTGTAGTGGATTAACATGCGCATACAGGGTGGATGGTAAATACGCGCGAGTTATGGACAGTGGGATCACGTCGGGCCGGCACAGGTGTGGCAGCGGGGAACTGTGAAGTAATGACGGGCCAATTAAGTTGGTAAGCGATGTATGGCTGTGATTGGCCGGGGTTGTTGTCGGGGCGGAGTGGCGCCGGAATGTCTGGTGAAAGGGGGGCGAGTAACAGGTGCGGGGGACGCGGGGCGTCGGGGGCACGCAGGGCGTCGGGGGCACGCGGCCTAATTAAATGGTTAATGAGAACGGGGATATATTCGGGAGACGGGGAGAATGAGGGGAGTTGTCGCTGGGACTGGAACGAAGCAGGTCGGAGAGAAACGAAGAGAAGACATAGGAGACAGAACAGGCTAGCAGTGAAGCAGAGACAAGCAGAGACTGAGAGCGATAGAGACAAGCAGAGACAGAGCGAGATACAGAGACAGCGAGAGAGAGGCAAAGATACAGTGTGAGACGGAGACAGAGTGAGGCAGAGCTAGAGCGAGATACAGAGAGCGAGCAACGGAGGGAGACAGAGACAGCGAGCGACGAAGGGAGACAGAGACAGCGAGCGACGAAGAGAGACAGAGACAGCGAGCGACGGAGGGAGACAGAGACAGCGAGCGACGGAGGGAGACAGAGACAGCGAGCGACGGAGGGAGACAGAGACAGCGAGCGACGGAGGGAGACAGAGACAGCGAGCGACGGAGGGAGACAAAGACAGCGAGCGACGGAGGGAGACAGAGACAGCGAGCGACGGAGGGAGACAGAGACAGCGAGCGACGGAGGGAGACAGAGACAGCGAGCGACGAAGAGAGACAGGGACGATGCAGAGGGACAGAGGGATAGGGGAGGAAGCGGAGTGAGTGAGACGGGCGGAGCACGTCGAGCGAGTTGCGGCTAAGCGGAATGACAAAGTCACAGACGTAATGTGAAGAGTTGTAATAAAAGTGGTGTAGGAGAAAACAATAAAGTTGTCCGCGTGAAGTCAACCACTAAACAGGTATTGTACATGAATAGTGCGTATTTTGGTTGCTTGCTGTGAAACAACATTTCCCTAAGTTACGGTCCCTCCCTATCCATACCTGATGAGATAATGGGAGAAATTGCCCCGCTTTAGGCAATGTTTACAGTCTTCCAGTCCCGATCCACCCCCATTTACCATTATTCCTTTGGGGGGAAATTCCCTGTTATACAGTTTCCTTATGTTTCTGGTCCCTAACCCCAACGTACATGGGACCCCCCCCCCCGCCACGTAGCAAGTTATCCATTCAAAGTCAAAACCAGAATGCTTTTAAAATAAATTAAGTCAAGTAAATACGTAGTTTTTGAATTCCTCCGAAGGCGGACGCAGTGCCGACTCTAGCGGAGCTCGAGGAGCACGGACTGCCAGCAGCCAGTGGCATCCTGCGCTGGGTGCAGTGCCAGCCCTACAGTATAGGGTGCAGGGGTGCCGGCTTCGGGGAACGGAGTTCTACGGGGCCATGGCACTCTGATCCCGGAGGACACGTGCCCGGAGGCATCTACCCGGGGACCCCCAGAAGGGGGCTGGGGGGACCACGTGTCATGGGGAGCTCCTCGAGAGTTCCAGAAGGGGGTCTTGGCTAGGGGCGAAGCGAGCCCCGCCAAAGGGGATAAAAGCCGGCAGTCTCCCAGTGGGACCGGCTGCTGTTGTGATTCTCAAGAATCTACGTCTACGTCCGAAGACAAGACCAACATGGGACTGGACCCAAGCTGGGGTCCCGTCCGTCGTAGCTACTCCCAGTGTAGTTAGTGCAATCTAGATTCTAGTTAGTAATCTAGAATTTAGTTAGTGTAGTTAGCCTGGTGGACCACCAACATAGGTTATTATCTGGTAAAGGAGCAGTTACCCCTTTGTGTTAGGTGTTGGTATTAATAAATGTGTTGCCTCCAAGCAGTACGTCTGAGTCTCCCCGTCTGAGCCCACTACACGTGTAAAACACACGGGCCAGGAAAATGATCGTCTGCAGGAAAAAAAACGAATACAAAAAACCCACAACGATTTTAGATATGCCAACAGTTTACTGGGAACAACGTTATGACACTTAACAGACTGAACAACAGCCAACAAGTGTGCTGTGTATCAGCAATGAGCTATTGAATTTGTTGCATACGGAGAATTGTTGCCTGGAATTATACATACATGTATATCACTCTCCTATATAGTATTTTTAATAACAGCGTCAATGCATAAACACCTACAGGGCCGTGCTTGGGAGAACATGCAACTGTGAGACCAAAGCAAACCTGCCGTTGGTCATTTAAGGAAAAACTTTAACATTGGTCAAAGCTGTCTATGGGGTTTGGGGGGGGGAAACAACATAAGCTGCAATTCACACGGGCTGTGGGGCAATATGTGAGAAGCGATCAAATAAAGCATCCAACAAGCGCACCAACGTCACACAGTCACGTTTGCAGCATTGCACGTGGCGGCAACAATGCCAATAAATTAGCAGACCAAATATCGTTGCTTCATTTAGATAACCTTTAAACACACATGTGCACACCAGTCTACCGCAAAACACTTGTACAGCACAATGGAGAGTAGAATTCACATTTACAAATCTACATGTATGATTAATTGTCTGCACCCATCTTTTTAAATCACAGATATCAAAATGTTAAGAAACTTGGAAGTAGTCATTGGTTGGCCTCTGAAAATTATTCATACTATCGAGAGGCAACTCAGTAAAGGGATACAGTTCCACACTGTCCAGGGAAATTAAACAAACAATAGGTACTATAATCCCAGTGTAAATATTTTCAAAATGGGGAATTCAACAGGTCCTCGAATTCAAATTTCTGGCATAACTGCGTTGTACCAATGCCACACACCCACTCCGTGGCAGTGACGACACATTTAACTATGTCAACTACCTGTAAAGCCTGGCTCTTTGACAGCTGCTTCATAAAATGCAATGACTGAGGTATGACACTATTCCAAAGGATGCAGCAATATATATACGTGTATTTTTGAATATATATTAAATACTCAATTATGGGCTATATTATTGTACAATACTGATCAGTGGAGTGACATGAATGGGATAAATTGTTCAAACATCTACATATTTCAATAAACGATTTAAATATGCTAGTTTATTTACATCAGAAATGCATATCAGAATGTTTACTTGCTATTTCTGATCTTTGAACACGTCAAATGGTAAGTGGATGTTTAAAATGATCATCTCTGCCACAGAAAACATGGAATAGGTATCGGATTCAGCAAACATGCTGATATTTAAATTTCAGTTTTTATATTTGTAAAACAAGAGCCATCTGGTATTTTTTCTGTCATCTTCATTTCACAGAAACTGCATCTGGAAGACACAATCACAGATAAAATAATTTGCACAGATATACCAGACAGACAATTATGTGGGTGTTCCAGCAAAGATAAACGCAGAAGGTCCATTCTCAACAAGAATGCCACGGGAATGACGGAGCTTACTGCAGACTTACCTCGGAAGTCAGCAGAGCCATTTGGCACTGCAAGGAGGAATGATGGTCACGGGTTTCTGAGGAGACAGGAAGTCCCTCAGTGGCCCATTATTACATAACATCCTTTGACACCATCAAAACATAACACCCCTATGACCGTAATTCAGAGGAAGAATTGTTATCGGTTCTCCGACTTAGAGACAGGATTGGAGATTTGCGTAGCATTAACGCAAGGTCTGATTGTAACCACTATGAGGGTATTTCTGTCCTTATCTTCTTGTCTCCAATAATAAAGAGACGCTCGCAAAAAAGCCAATTCAGGCAAGGACAGTCAATCTGCTACAGCAAAGTTAAGACAATTTCATCAAAATGTATAACTCTGCTGCAGAGATGATCCATACAGGAAAAATGCATAAAAACCTATCAGGCAGAAATTTGCATTGGCTCCACAATTGGGTTGAGCATATCTTAGCGAGATTCCACAGATGGATGCGTGTCAGCGATTGCTATGAATTAAGTTGACCCCATTTACGGCAGCTAATCAGCAACCAGGAAAATACCGATGCAATATGGCTGCCGTGACGGCATCGCTAAGTGTGTTTTGTGCGGTTTTCCGTGTCGATGACCGAGATCAGCAATGTCAAGACCGGCCTCGATGAAGGGGGGCTCATTAAGGACGCTACTGGGCAGTTGGAAACACTTTCTAAACAGCAGAGGTCAGACGAGCAATGGCCACAACAACAAGATCATCAGAAAGCTAAAACGCAGCAAGTTGGCAGTGGGGAGTACAGATGTCAATTCATATCATCTGAGTCTATCCCATGATCTCCATCAGAAGCGAGCCTTCCACACTGTGATCTCATGGTGCACCTATCCTGGCACAAGCGCCATGGCGATGTAATCACCACGTAGTGGCGAATGTTATTTGTGATCGTGTGCATTTCTGCATGTGTATTTGTGCTTACGTGTCTGTGTGGTTGAATCTGTGAGAGCACTGGTGTGTGAAGGTACTGGTACACCTTGAGGTTGTCCCCACATGTGTACATTTCCATGAAAACATGGGGAAAATCCCCTTTCAATCATATTGTGACCCAGAATTGGAACAAATGTTGGCATATGCAATGTATAGAATTAGGCATGACATTTGGTACTCAGGCCCCGAGTCACACCCTTCAAATAACATAGATGCCAGGAACCTGCAATCACTGTGTATCCTTCGTATGTTAAGTGTTACACCTTGATGTTTTATATTACTTTATTTTAAAATTATCATTTGTATTTCTCACGTTAAAAAAAGTTGTTAAAGAGTGGAAAAGGTTTTGGGGCCCCGAAACGTCGATGGGAAAACGACGACCGCTAAAACGAGCTTTCACTCCACAGAGCGATTTTCGTGGAACGCATCTTGCTCGTTCAGTGAGACGCACCCATGTGCTGTTTTCGTGTACGGTTTAATAAAATCCATATTTAAGTGCTCCATAAATGGAGATCCTATTCTTCAAATGACAATCTCTTGCTCGGACTGGCACGCACACTGTGATAGAAAAACATTCACATTGGCAGTTTGTACTATACCAGCGTGGTGCAGTTTTGGGGTAAGCAATGGTAAAGGAAGCATTTATATTCCGATAATTGTGAAATGTTTCAGAAACACACCAAATAACTTATCTAAACATCAAATAGAATTTCGCTTACACTGTGGGAGCTGTCATTGCAGATATTATAATATGCAAATAGGATGATTTTCCCCTTGGATCATAAAATAATCCCAAGCTATATAGATCTAGGAGGCACACATTGAATTTATCTACGAGTGCTTGGGGTTCATGGATAAAAAAAATATCAATTCTTTGAGCTCCTCACAAACAAATGGATTCACAGATAACCGAATCATGGATAAGAGGATCCCAATTGTATGCGCTGCTATCACTCAAGTTCTTTATGGAGCAGGTGAAGAAGCTTTGCGTGAGCTGGCCACAGTCTGAGCCAACCTACGTTAAATGAAGTCCTTGAGGTTAAGGTCAGCCAGAGGATCCTTTGCTGGGCCCTTTTGTGGGCTCTGAGAAACTGGCGTAGGACTGGGCGAAAGCTTGGGAGGCCACAGGAGAAGCACAGGGCACAGACAGCAGGTAGCCACAGCGTGCACACACACACACGCGAGCGCGAGAAACACACACACAAAACAGGTGCGTTAGTATAAAGGGTGCAGTTGTCATTCATTCGTAAGTGGGTTCATTGTTTTTTGTTATTGTGAATACATGCATTGCAGAAAAGCTACACCAAGCGCCAAGAATGTAAATTTGGAGACAAGTGTAGCTATAAAGAAAAAGGAGTGAAAATGTTTAACATGAAGATTGTCTGCGTGTTTTGTTAGTTACAACAGAGCCAAGGTTTGTGCAAGAAGTAGGTTCCCAATGAACCACACTGATCGTTATAATATCAGACTTATCAGACAATGCCTCCTACACGTGTTTGTTCCTCCACATAGAAAATAAAAGTACTTTTCACACATGCCATTCGCCACACGACCTTCTGCGGGTGCATATCAACAAAAGCAACTCTGGACTGGTTTTAACATTCATTGTCTCATCGTCAGGTCAGGCTTGCTTGAACCAATACTGAACTGCCAGATGTTTAAAGGCGAGGATCTCTGTTAGATATGGGTCTTAGTTGAATGGAAAACTATATTATACAAAACAAATAGTAATGCGCATCTCTAAAGCTAAGCTAACATTGCAAGTAGTCGGAGAATGGCATAAGTGCATGGGGTTATAAACGGTAGTGTGGAGAGAGGAGAGAAAGGGTTAGTCCAAGCCAGAAGTGTACCAGATGGGCTAGGCCTAGGGAAGAATATTGGGTTAGGCTAAAGAGAGCGGGGAGAGTGCACGTGAGGGTTCAACGTAAACTGGTGCTGGTTTTCGAGAATAGGCCATGGGGCATGTCAAGTCCTCAAGGGGCGAAGCAGAACACTGCTCTGAGAGTAGACTTAACTGGAGAGCAAGACAGGCCGGTTGGGGTTACCAACCAATCCAGAACAGGGAGACGGATGACATGAGTGGTGGGGCACGTCGGGCTCCCTGTTCCTGGTGCCTGCTCTGGGGTTGGGGGGAGTGCAAGAGATGTGCTAGACCGAGTGGGCAGTCTGGCTGGAACAGGGCCAACCAAGCCACGAGTGAGCAAGGTGCTTGGGCTTGGGATGGTTGAGCAAAATAAAAATGCGAGGTCATCCCCTTTTCTTCCAAAACAAATTAACAACTGGGGGTGATTTTGTCTGGAACTAAAATTTGGCTACTTAAGAGGCAAATGCATATTTTAGGACTGTTGGCCAACCCACAGTCCAAGCATTTGCAACCGAACCGGTTTTAAACTCCTTCACAGAACTGTATTAAATGGGTGCGCCGCGGTTGCAAGCTGTCAACTCCCTTGCCTGGTATACAGGAGAGCGTGGGTTCGATCCCTACCCTGAGGTCTGCTGTATATTTGGAGTTGGTCACATGGATTTTTATCCAGGTCTTGTAGTTTTTTCCTCCACATTTAGAAACATGCATTTAGAGTATTTGTCTGCTGCTATAAATTTACACGTGATAAGCCACCTCGTTGAGCTATCATTTGTGGTCAGGCCACTTCTGAAAAAAAGCTATATTGCTCAGCGGGCCTTACCTAGTAACATAAAAAATAGTTTAGTTTAGTGTTGCTGAATGAAGGATTTATGCTAAGTAGTTTTGATAAATTCCGGATATATATCTATTTAAATGTGGCTGGTTACCTACAGGTAGCTGAACCTGCCATTGAGCCAGTTTATACAAGGTTGTCATGTTAAATCCTGCTCTGGCATTTCAGCAATTTGTATAAAGTACACTTGATGCTGCACCCAGGAAGTTAAATATCAAGTAGCACCATCATTGTTACACTGGTGTCAAGGCTCATATTTCCAAATTATTGTAAAAAACCCTCAAAACTAAAATGTAAACCATTAAAATAGATCACCTGTTATATCTCCAAGTAAAATGTTGGAGAGTTTGAGCCTACTGCCTTCCAGACTTATGTTAACCAGCAGCATTTCTTTGAACATGCCAACAATGGACTGGTGTCCTCCAGGGGCTCATAAGTAGTCATGAGTGCTCGTCAAATACTGCTTATTCGCCAGACGTTACTGGTAAGTGCCACTTAGATGGCTAAGTTGCTCAGGGAGCTCAGTACCATGTCAAATCAATAATAAAATGACCTAAAATGTTAGGTTTGAATACTTGGCAGCCACAAATGTGTAATTCCCACAACTGTTTCAAGGCCACCCATGGAGATGGATGAAAGCGATTCCCAGCAACCATGGCGGGTTGTACACGCACACAACTGGGGAGCGGTAGTGGTGGTTAGAGTACTGCACTACGAACCCAGTGGCCCGAGTTTGATTCAACACTGGTGACGATTATTTTAATCGGTCCTTGGCCTCCGAGGTCGACTGGGCCTCAAATGAGTGCCTGGTGCAGTGTGTAAACATCGCCTCTGGGGAGACAAAGACGGCTGGGCGAGGTGCTGGCCACCTATCCCCTCATGCCATTCCAGCATTCATAAGGTGCTCGCTAACCGCACCTGCCCCAACAGTCTGCTAAGGCTATATGGGGGATCATTCGTCTTTGTGTGTGTGCAGGACATCTTGAGCCGGACTGATCAGTTGTGGCAGTGGGTGTGACTTACTGTATGCCATTATGTCACGATACTGTTGTAGCTTCGAAATCACTCCACCCTGACTATATGATTGGGTATAGAGATGAGAGGGAGCGCGTGTATGCTCTACCCCTCTTATGGGATAGGAGGGCGTCTTGAGAATCAGCTCTACTGGGTAACCCCCCTGTGGCAGGGCGGCAAATGACATCTCAACACTCCTTAACAAGGCCGCCTCTCGGGACAGCTTGGAATGTTCCACCACCACTTGGAGGATCTTCAATGTTGCTTTTGTACGGCTGTTGGAGCCCTTGGCATTTACAATGAATTGTAAAAGTAATAAACATGGTCTCATTGGTCGGATTAGTCTTCTATGTTTACGCCACATGGTGTTGGTAATATAAAACGGTGACAAAACTATACAAGACAAAACGAGCCAGAAACAATAAAAAATGAGATCACAAAATTAGAATATTGAATCAAGTCATGATATTGAATTTTGCCAATTCATAAAAATCACTGGTGGAATTAATCACTGCATCAATGCCACCCATTCAGCCTGTAGCCTCTTAGCTGAAGGGTCAGTGGTGATGGTTAGCGGTTAGGCAGGTGGTTTGTGATGGCGAGGTTGTAATGCGGTCGGCATCCAATGGGGGCCCAAACGTGGCTCATTATGCAACTTTGTCTTTTTTGATATTGGGTAAATTGTTATTTTAGTGTAACATTCAAAAATTTCCCCAGACCGCAGAACGAGTAGCATATAAGGCTTTTAAGCCTTCCCCGCCCCCTACCCATAAGCCTCACTACCAATAGCAAAGCACACTCACGGTAGGGGGATACACAGAACACAACATTCTTTCAACACACAACTAAGGCAATGTGGAGGGAGGGAAGGGAGAAGTCTCAAAATTAACTGGATGCAAGTAGTGGAGGCTCCTAACTTAAACATGTAAGAACAACGAAAAGGAAGATAAGGACACGAACGGAATTAAACATGTGTCACTTACCTCTTCACTGATATACGTACACTGGCAGACTCCCCCAATCATCGCAAGGAGTAGGCAAATCGTGGAGACGGCTGGTGGAGAACAGTGGCTGGCACTATGGACTAGTTTTGTCCTTACCAAGGTATAAAATCTCATCTTCTATTTGTCCTATACTGCCGGTCAACGGTCCAATGTTCTTCTTAACATTCAGCAGCCATACAAGAGGTGGTACCGAGGTACAGGCCACTTCTTAGATGGCAGCGACCTCCAGGTTGGCTCCTTACAGATGTCCTGGCCCATGACGTCACCACCACTCTGGTGAAATATGCCCTCAACCCCAGAGAGTTCTCCTTCTAGACCAGTGTGCAGCAGTGCCTGGCAGAGTTTCCCCATACAGGACGAACAGCTGCTATGATTTTTCGGCAGTCTACTGTCCTATGGAGGTAGAATTTCAAATCTCTCGCCACATACAAAAAGTGTGGAGAATCCTCTGAGGTGAACAGCGGAGGACAGCAATGTCGGTACTCAGCTCCTTCTGCAAGTGGAAGGTTGACACCACCTTGGGCAAAATGGAGGAAAATTCCTCAGCGCAACCTTATCCCATTGAAATTCCATGAAGGCATGTGGTTTCGCACCCCTTTCTGGCCGACGTGACGGCTAACAAAAATACCGTTCTAAAGGTTAGGAACCTCTCTAAAACCATAGCCATTATGTACGAAAAGAGGACATATGGGAGCATCCAACACTATTCTAAGGATCCCAAGGAACCACAGATGTTGTCCGCCTATAGGTCTCTCCAGAACCATAGCTCTCATGAGCCAAAACAGCACTGCCAAGAACCCACCGGGACTCCACTACATATGTTAAAAGCATAAACAGCCAAAAAAGATGGGTTCTTTATGAACACTGTTGACATGCCGCTCTCAAAATTCCACCGGAATTATGATTAGCGATAGCCGGTGTTTGGAATTACAGGTGACGACCCTCCTTGGACACACCAGCAGGAAAATGCCCTCCAGTGTCTGGTGAAAAACCTTACCCATGGAGGCTTGTTTTGGTTTAAATAGTAGGAGGATCTGCACCTTTTTTGAACCTCAACCTTCCAGTGGTCATCCACAGTGCATCTCGCCTTAGCACATTAGATCCTCCCCAGCTGGGAGTATCCAACATAGGCCTGTTCTCCGTTCCAGAAGCTCCGAGAACCAGCATTGTTATCTTGCCCAAATGTGGGATAATCAGTAGCATCCAATTCCCCTTCCCTCCGTATCTTGGCCAGCACACTTAGCAGGATAGACAAATGAGCAAAAGCATATGGAACTGCCCCAATCCAGGGGGAGATCGTGAACGCATCCGTCACAGCAGTCCCTAGGCAGCGAAACTGCATGCAGAGCCGTTGTAACTGGTGATTGGTCTAGGGCGCAGAGGTCCATGATGAATGAACCGGACTGGCATTTGACCTGCTCGAACACCTTAGGGTGTAAAGCCCACACCCCTGGATCAAGGCACCCTCGACTTCAAATGCACTACCCCTGCCAGATCATAAGGCTTAAATCCACCGAAACGTGAGAGTTCCTGGAAGTCCAGATTATAACCCTGCTCCACAATTATTCAGACCTGCACGTCCATTATAGTGCACACCCGCACCGGTGTAAACACCCCTCTGCATACAGAAGATGGGGAGGATGACCAGCACACTCCCCTTGGCACCGTCAGTGTTGTTAATACTTGTCCACTGAAGCCACTGTATCAGTTTGTCGTTTGGGATTTTGCTTTGCTTTTCTTCTTCTTGAGAAGCATAACTTGTAGGCTGGTTTAGGAGGCAGGCTTCCTGCTGTAGCATTGGGATTGACATCCAGGAGGCCCACAGGGGTCGAAAGAAATTGCGCGACTGCACGTTCTAAGCATCATACACCTTTTGAAGTCATTCCTATAGGTCTTTGTTGAAGAGGATTTATCTTCGAACGGCAGAGTGCACAAGACCGCCCTTGAGCTGGTGGTCAGCTTTTGGCCGCTACTGTCAGATCATCAATTGGCCCACTATGGCAGAAGTCACCACCCTTGGAGGTGCTGTTGAGCAGGTATCTTTCCTGCTTCGAGAGAAAATATGGCCATGTCCTGAATGTCGAGGTAGGCATGATATAACTTCTGGTCTTCCTCTTCATTGAGCTTGAGTCTACAATGACTTAATGACAGACTTGGCTGTAAACGCTACACACGGGGTTATGCATACGACAGAAGCTGCAGCACGATGACCATTCTTAAATCCATTATCCAATGCCCTTGCCCAGTGTCCAGCAGGGACTGGGAGCTTTCCTCCTGTACACAGGGTAACCCTGGGAATACTTTGACTACCATTGCCGCATCTACACATGGGACTGAAGAAAAAATGTTTGTGTCTGCCTCGTCCTTGAGGCTGTTCGTGGCCCATGGAGCCTCTGCTTGCTTTGCTCACTCCCAGTGGATCTGTTTCTTCAGAGCATCTAGAAAAAGAATAAGAGTTGTAATTCCTTGCCAGTTAGACCCCTGATGAAGAATGGCTCCACATCGGGTCGGCTAGATTGTTCCAGTTCCACAAGCTTCAGCTTCCACCTGATGCTGCATCCCAGCAAGTGCAAGAGATCTTGAGGAAATATTAATTTCTCAGTTTTATCTTCATTTGACAAATCCCAGCCTGAGGACGACTCCACCATTGAGAACTCATGTCGCCTATTTGGTCTTTTCCATCTTAGCTCTACTCTCTCACAGCCTCTTATATGAAAAAGTGCAACTGATGCTTGTCCAGCTAAAACGAGCTCTCCTGAAAGACACTCGTCTCAGCAGACAGCGGCCTCTGAGGTGACACTTCCACACTCAAAAAGCGAAGAACAAGGCCAAGGATAGACATCCAATTTCTTGCTTGTTTGAGGCTGTGTAAAAAAAAAATGTTTAACTTTATCTAGGATGGCTCTATCCCTCGCTCTAAATTGTTCTGAGGTACAGATAGAAGGGTGAGGCTTATGGGTAGAGGGTGGGAAAGTATAATGGCTAAAAACTGTGGAGATTAAATGCAATAGATGATCCCTAAAAGGTTAGATTCCTCATTAGGGATTAATAGGGGAGTGGTGGTACCATTGGTGTGTGAAACTAGAGCGAGTCTTCCAAACGTCAAATTAGTCCAAAATGAGTGCTTGGTGTGGTAATGTGGCTATCATCAGCAATGAGTAATGTGGGTAGGTGAAGTGGTGTTAGGCATGCCGCTGTTGTTTTCTGTCAGCCTTAACAGGGATGTAACGATTCAGCTCCACCTGGTGATCTGGAAAACTGTCGCATTTTGGCATCATAATTTGGTTAAATATCAATTACTTTTTAAACGCCAATAATTGAGTGGCCTCTAGTGGCTGCAGAGGTCACAAGAACCAATTAAATACAAAAAAACAGATTCTTATGTGTAATCACATGCATGAATCATAAGTTTAAGAATCAATATTTATATAAAGCATTTCATCCCTCGTGTGTGCGAACAGTAATTACCACAAAACCGTGCTAAAATCGCACCTCCAAATGGCACGGTTGGCTACATATGGTGAGAAAGAAGTTCAACATGCATGCATACAAAAAAACTGTGGGCCAGTGTGGCTCTTAACTTGTATGCAATAGCAGTCAAAACAGGCTGCGGATACGGCTGAATGTAATTACCTGCGCGGTACCCATGCTCCCGAAGGGCGGTCTCATGCCAGTCTGAGCACTGGTGGCTCCAAACATGGCTGGTGGTGGTCCCATCAAGGGTACTCCAGCCATGGCTCCTGGTGCCTGAATTAAACAAAGCAAGACAAGTTATTTCTGAAATGACAAAAATAAAAGCAATATTAATCAATGATTATATCGTAATTTTTTATGTTCCTATGAGAGAGCTATATTTGTTTGTAATAATTTCCTAAGGATAAAGAGAATATTATCTGTAAGTCTTTACACGTCTGAGGCAGGGGGCTATAATGCACATAAAGATAATCTTTATAAGGAGTGAAAGTAAATTTGTGTTTCTAAAAAGTACTTGCCCGAAAAGGGACTGATTGATTTAAAAAGTTGGGTAAAATTTTACCAAATACATGTATCTTTTTGACCAATGCATCATGTAACTCGCCAATGGCTAATGACATCATACACTGGTAATGTCCACACGTCTCCGCTTGGTCCAAGGGCCAGGCCTGGGTGTGGGCAGGCACTATACCTCAATTGCATTTATGTTAAAATCATACATTATTTCTAAACAAGATGATGTTATCATGTGTTACATCTCATTGCAGGTGATGTAATGTCGTTTATAGCCAATTTATTTCACACAAATGCAGTTTTGGGCTAGTGCTCCTGAGGCCAGCCATACATTGCGCCTGGTTTCTAGTGCCTCGGCGGGCAAAGGAATCTGTGCAAGACAGTAGGTCCAAATCACCATCATCATCAGCCATGATTTATCGTCAAGTGGATGAAGATCAATGATGTCTCTGATATGTTTGTTTTCCGATCCATGTGTTCCTCTTTCGGTGTCTCAGTACAATTCCAAGCATGCATCTCTCAAGGGTTTGAACACTTTTGATTTGGTGTATGCTTGTAAATGGTGAGATCAATCCTTGGATTCCTGGAAGTTCGGAATATTGGTCCGACAACAAGTGTTCTCCGATAAATTCAACTATTTTTTTAAATTTAATTTTACCAAGTAAGGCCCACTGAGCTATACATACACATCTCTTTTTAAGAAGCGACCTGGCCACAAACGACAGCTCAATTAAGTGGCTTATATTGTGGAAATGTATAGAAGCCAAAAACTATAAAACGCATGTTTCTAAATGTACAGGGAAAAACCGAAGGGCCTAGATAAAAAATAAATGCGACCATGGGAAGAGAGATACACGAAAACTCCAAATATACAGGAGTCAGGGTCAGGATCCAATCCACGACCAGGCGAGCTATTTAACATCTCGCCATCTTGGCTAAAAGGGTCACACACACGAGGAGTTTCACTATAAACCACACACACGCACAATTGGTAAAAGATCTTTTTATCCACATCCAAACCTTTCAGCTTCCAGGCTACTTCTTGCTTTTCCAAGGAAATATCGTCTGTGTGTCTAAGGATATTTCACAATAAATTACAAAATCCTTGAAAGCAGGGGTGACAAAAATTGTTTTCATGGACTGAATTGACAAGCATGCCGAGGGCTGTGTGCTACAGACATTTAGACAGAACAATGTATTCAGAACTAAATGTAGTGGGAGCTCACAGACGTGTAATGCGCGACTTCCGCGACTCGTCGTGTAGAGGGCACTTCTTTTATTCACACACGGCACAGCACAAGCCAATATTTCTTCTCATTATGGTACAACACTTGGATGTTAGCACTCTACTGGCTACACACACGGTCGATCACACGACGTGGTTCCACTGTCCACTCTCGGCTTCGCCGCTGGCTGGCGGTGGGCCGGGAAGGGTGATGGAACCCCGCAGGAGATCTTCCACGTGGCCGGACGACGGAGAGAGATGATGGCGAGTAGCGACGCAGTCCGGATCCAAGACTCCACACACGAACCCCGAGTCCTCCTCCGCCCCCGCTTATATTCCCGGAGCATCCTGGCTAGCCCCGCCCATTACCTTTAGCCCAGATACCTCTCTCATTCGGTTTGGATGTTGTTTTAGCGGTGCCTGTATCCGTGCTTCCCTTTCCTAACCAGCAGGTGTCATCATGTCTTTACATCACGCCCCCCGCCCCCGTGATAACATTTTTTGCCGTCCCAGCCAAGTACATCCATGTGCAGGATAAGAACGACAATAAAGAGCTATAAAAAGCAGGACTCGAGTTATCTTCCTTAAAGGGCGGGACAATTCGCAGGAACAATCAACACCCAACAAGGAGGGAAGGGAAAATTACAGGAACAAGGAGGAAAAAACAAACCTCTCCGCCATTCCTGAGCAATACCCAGAACAAGGAATCAACGGAATTGCATGCATTTGGACCGAGTTCGCGATGCCGGTCCGTCGATGGGAACGGTCTTGTGCTCCTGCTCGGGCAGTGTGCACACCACGAGAACAGCAAGAGACGCGGGCTGCAAAACAGGAGGCACAGGTGCAGCAGGTTCGGCGGCAGCAGGCATCTCCTCGATCCCGGCGAAGCTTCGACACCCGTCCATGGTCACAGGCTCGGATGCTGTGGGCAGCACGACACAATCCTTCTGATGCACGCCCTCCGAACGCACCATCCCTGGCTCGGACACACCAGACACCAGCAGACCAATTTTTGGACATGGAGAGGCAATCCGCGGAGAAACAAACGGCTTCAACCGAGACGGATGGACAAACCAATGGCGACGGCCCAACCGAATACGCACACACTGTGGCCGTTTAACCTCGACAACTTCCATGGGCCCTTGCCAGGGCTTATGCAGCTCAGGTCACGTACCAACCAGCACCTGTGGGCAATGTAACCATGCTCTGTCACCAACGGAGCATGGTAGCACGTGATCCTGTTTCCCCGCACCACGGTATCATTCTCACAAAATGCGGTTGTAGCGTGAGCCAATACCATACCTGCCTAAACCACAACCGTACCCGGACCCACGTTAAGCACTTGCAAGAACGGGGCCTGATCGGAGCGAAGGACTGTTTGTGCGCCAACTAGCGCCAATCGGCAAGTCGCCATATTTGACGTCAGAAGGCTCCCAGCCATCGGATCAACATTCCCCAATTCATTGCGATAGCGTAGCAGTACAAGCATCTGAGATCCCGGTGGATCTTCACCGAATCCTTAGCAAGAGCTTGTACCGTGACGCTCGCTGCCGAATGCACATGCGACGACGGCAAAACACATTTTTGCGACCCGACGGCATTTCCACACACCCTTGATCAACCAGGATTTTAATAGGCATCCTTTTCAGAAAATCGGTGCCCAAACGGCAGGGAACAGCCAGTGACTTTGAGATCAGGACAAATCTGACCACAGCAATCTCGCCAATTTCGATGTGGGCATCCACCTGACCAATGATGCCCATGCTCCCACCGTTCGCCGCGACACAAGCATTAACGACAGGTCACACTTGATGAGCAAAGATCGACAACAATTGAAAAATAACATCAGAAATAATGGTAGCCGAGGCTCCCCGTGTCTACAAAGACACAGACCTCAATACCTTGAATAGAACTGGATACCGCCAAAGAACCTGCAGCTGCCGCGATCACGCGAAGCGTCAATTTCCTCCAGTGTCCCCCAGCTAGGCCACCCATGTGCAACCGAATCACATTATTGCCCGATGTCAATGTGTGTTATGCTGAGAGCGGATGAACCCTGAGTCATTAGATGCCTGAAATTTCAAAATGGACCGGGTGTCCGATATGTCACGACTCGCCTGTTGGGGTTGAGGTGGAGCCGTCGGAGGGGCAGCGGGCGCCGGAGCCTTAGTCGGTGTCCGAGGACGATTCTGGCATCCTCGCGCCAAGTGCCCCGGCTGACCGCAGCAGAAACAGGCAAGAGATGGCCTCTGCGCCATCCAATCCTCCTGTTGACGCGGTCCCCAGTTCCATCGACAGCGCGCAGAATCCCCTCTTCTCCAGTTCCACGACGGGAGCGCAGCAGCGATGTCTCCCTCTGAAGTCATATCCGCGACGATCCCTTCAGTTCCCCGTCTCGGCAGGGGTCTCCAGTCCATGCTGCCATCTGAGCCCAATGCTGTAGATTCTCGTGGGCCTGAAGACACCTGGCAGCCCATCAGGATGTTTGTGTGTCTTCGTCACACACAGGTAAGACCACACCAATTTCTCTCGCCAGTCCCAACATCCGTTCCATGACGAGCAAGTCGAGGGCCTCCGGATTCACCCCAGGGTAAGCTGCTCTCGCTAACGCCAACAGCGCGCTGCGGTAGGCGAGAGGCGTCTCGGCTTCCCCTCGCCTACGCTGAAGAAATTTGCGGCGTGTATAGGAAGGCGGCTCGTACACGTTCCGCCATCTCAGCATAAGCACTTTGAAGTGTAGCCTTTTTATCAGCAGGAATATCTCTTAAGACAGCAAGAGCGTTTTTGTCCAAAACAGTCGGCAGAGCGATCAGCGCTTTATCTTCTGTCCAATGCACTGATCGGAAAGCCGCTTCAAATCGCCAAGTGAAGGCGCTCCAATCGCCACCTGCTGTGACGAATTCTTTAACTTGAGGAAGTCTTGAGTGCGATCGGTCCTACTCACCATGTTCTCAGCGGCGGGTGCCGAGTCTTGCGCACCATGCGCACTTTGTAAAATGGCGGACTCCGTCCGCGCCTCTCTCGCACCGCCCAAAATGGCGGCATCCGGCTGCGCATTTTCCTCACCACGCGTGATGGCGGCCGTCGCACCTGTAGACGCTCCAGCCAGGACTACTACTGCGGACTCCTGGTCGTTTTCTCCCGGCGATGTCAGCACTGAGCGCCCCGCCACCGTAGTCACCGTGACAAGCGACACCGGTTGTACGACCACCGCCCGCAACAAGTCTAGCTGCTCCGACACCTTCCTCCAGCCCTCTTCGAGCTGCTGGTGCAGAGATGGTGCATCTGCGTCGATCGTCTCCGGTGCAGCAACTTCTCCCACCGTGGTTGCCAAAACCGGGACCACGGTTCCCGGGGTGGGCAGCAGGTCTTGGTTACCATTTTCATCGTCATGGGAAGACGCCACAGGTGGGTTACGTTTCTTCTGATGTTTAGACATCTATTAAATCTTGTTTCGTTTTGAACCACTTCTGACTCCAATGTAATGAGCGACTTCCGCATCTCGTCGTGGAGAGGGCACTTCTATTATTCACAC